GGTATTTTTGCTGCAGGCCATTTGATCCATTTCAGACATTAGTCAAACACGGCTTGTGTTTAGTAATTTGTTCAATCTTGGGTCTGACACAGTTGTGTCCATATGACTAAGGTGCTCACCCCACCTTGGGCTTTTTAAAAATAATTATATTCTTTTTAAAAATGATGTGTGTCCTCTCATAAGACGCAGATTAGTTGAAACCTGTTCTGCCACGGTCACCGATATCTGAGCTGCCACTGACTCTCCAGGAGTCAGCACACTCTTCACGGTTGTCACCAGTGTGCGAAATACCCGTCAATAATTCGGGGGGGGTCCCCATCTCCTGTTTATTGCGCAATATACCGGTCGAAGATTTCTCAATATGCAGTAGGCCTTTACAATATTTAATGGATGCAAGCCAAGACAATCAGTAGTCTATACTATAGCAGCGTTTCTCAACCGGGGCGCCGTCTGGCGTCTTCAGGGGTGCCGTCAAATAATTCTATATTCTGACGTTCATATGAATGAATGAATACGCGACCGTTAAAAAGTCTGTTTTCGATTCTATGCGAGGAAATGCTTTGCCAGCCAAAATAGAAGATATTTGTGAATAAATGTTTTGAATTATGAATACTGGACATAGTAAGCTTAAAAACATTTTTGTGACCATTGCAACTGACAAATAAATATTATAATTTGAGACCACCCTCACATTTAGCTGTTGAGGCTTTCAGGGGGGCTCAGGTGTTAATCAGGGGGCTCGAGCTCCCCCGGACCCCCCCGTATTTCGCACACTGGTTGTCACAGCCTGTCCTCCTCCAAAAATCGACCAAATAGGTCGATTGTTCAGCAGCTTATTACGACCTATACATTACATTACATTTCACTTGTTAGACGCTTTTATCCAAAGCGACTTACATACATTCGGTACTGTGGGCGATCCCCACAGGAGCAATTTGGGGTGAAGTGTCTTGCCCAGGGACACAACGACATGCTGACTGCAGTGGGACTCGAACTTGCTATCCCCTGATTCGAAGTTCAGCGCGCTATCCACTGAGCCACAGCCTCCCTTATAGTCGCGTTTTAAAGTTTAGCAAGTTTGGAAAATCCTAAATTGTAGAATAGTTTGGCCATTCTATGGGAAAAACACAAAAGTAGTGTACACAATATACACTTCTCGCTAGAAATCTAATCAAAAAGCATTTTAATGGCCAAACTATTCTACAATTTAGGATTTTCCAGAGAGGGTTATTTGTGAATATACGACCCTCTGGAGCGTTTTGCAATTGCCGCATATTGTTGTTTCTTACACGACCACTTGAGGTGCTAAACTTTAAAACGTGACTATAGGTCGTAATAAGCTTGTGTGTCAACAATAGAGCTGCAATGTGCTAGATAAGGAAACCTTGAAGAATAACAATTTTGATAAACACTCTTCACGTTTGAAGATGGCCATTGCCAACCCCCGACTTTCCCCCCTCTGCATCCTGCATTACTGCAAAGGCAAACATTGGTGCATGAAACTGTGCAAGTGTGTTGATGAAATCTTAATGAAAAATTGATGTGGTGAGGGCAAAGGCACTGGAAAGAGCCCCCCCCCCCCCTTACTTTATGACATGGCCTGATTTTGGTGTGGCGGTTGGTGTGAAACTGATGCATATTGGGTTGTCACAGCCCCTTTTTCTATTTATTTATTTGCAGATTTGGAATCAAATATTTATTCTAAATCAAATGTTGCCAATAATTAAATGAAGGTGCCCCCCTCCCCATGAAGGCCTGCACATCAGATTGAGCCCGGTGTTGAACTGCAGAGTTTGTGTTTACACCACCATCGCAAGCAGACATGCATACAACACACACACACACACACACACACACACACACACACACACACACACACACACACCTCCAGTGTTTGATTTACTGCACACAGTGTAAATAGGATGAGCCGAAGCACCCAGCGCTCTGAACCGAGGTGCTGTGTCTCTGTGTCTCTGTGTGTGTCTGTGTGTCTCTGTGTCTCTGTGTGTCTGTGTGTCTCTGTGTCTCTGTGTGTGTCTGTGTGTCTCTGTGTGTTTCTGTGTGTCTCTGTGTTGTAACACAAATTAACCTCTGTGTCTAATTTGCTGGCGGTCTATGTAATTGGACGGTGCATATGTGGAGATGGTAGGAGGAGGCCAGTGTCAGCCTATCCCAGAGAAGCGTTGGTTTCAGAATGTCAGCCAGCAGCATTGCCATGGTGATGTCATCCTTAAGCTGTGCGCCCGCATTCATTGGACAAAGCTTACTGATTACTGGAAGAGAGGAAAGAGGAGGAATAATACATCTGGAGATTAGACTACGAGCCACGGGCAAACTGATACCAGATTCTCATTTTGATCAGCTTCAATACGCATTTGTACAGAAACGTCTCTCACGACGATGAATGCAGGTGATCGTGTTGTTTGGAAGGCAGTTGGGATCAGACTGAGATAGTAATACAAAATGATTGATAAGGAATTGTTTATGAAACTGATTTATTTTTAAGACCTGTGTAAGGTGCATCGTTACTCGAACACAAGGATGAAAATGGCAGTCATTTCAAACGGAAGGATAACAGCATAGTTTTTATAATGTTAAATGTCTAACAACACTTGATATATATCATTTCATTTAATCTCTTTGGGATGAGAACAGAAAAGCTTTGGCCTTTGTTGTTATCTACAGACACAATATTTAAAACATTTATCCCTTGATGATAAGATACTTTGTTTTTTCTAATTATTTTACCTATTGGACCTTCTTGAAACGAAGTCACCAGGCACATGTTCAAACACTCACACTACGAGCACGTGATGCAATGAACTGTGTTATAATGACGAGGAAAACTGGAAAATATTTTGTTGATTTGAATTACAATTTGCTAAATATTATATAATCAATGTTATCAACAATGTAATCAACCTGGGCTTTAATTTAGGTGTGTTTTCAGATTAAAAGTTTAAATAAGCAATGTTTAAAATAATTGTTTTGATCAGTTGAAACAAGGCAACATATATTGGGAAATCACCATTGCTGTGCTAATGCAGTTCAATTCCAGAGGAATATCTATTATCAGATAAGTTTTTTATTTAATCAGAATTCAAATCTGTCAAATTTGAAGAAATTAAGGGTGTATTTAATAAATATGGTTTGTCTATTCAAACTCCGGAGAATGGGATCATAATTTCAAAATGTAAGTCAAACTTGTCTTTCTTTAAGATTCTGCACATTTCCTTTTTTTATTTCCAGTATTGTGAGATTCAAGATTTAATTCTGTCCTTCTCAAAAATTAATAACCTAAGAAGTTTTCTTTTTTTGCCCATGTCTCCTTATTAAAATATTTGTTGAGGATGCTTTGATGCATTGTATAAAAAAGAACATGTTTATTGTATTAAACATCACAAAATAATGTTCTACTATCTACAATTATGTAATAAAAGCCTTTTCCCATTATGATAACGGGTCCGTTTATAGGTGCCTTGATCATTTTTATAAAAAGGTTCCTGCTGGCTCATCTGGGTAAATCTCTGCTACCTGCTGTGTCATCATGGCCCAGATGACACGCATTCAAATGGTAACTATGTTGTTTTATGACAGCAGGCTGTCCTCAGGTGTTGTGTGTGTTGGTGGGGGGTTTGGTGTGTGTGTTGTGTGTGTTGGTGTTGTGTGTGTGTTGTGTGTGTGTGGGTGTGGTGTGTGTGTGTGGTGTGTGTGTGTGTGTGTGTGTGTGTGTGTGTGTGGTGTGTGTGTGTGTGTGTGTGGGTGTGTGTGTGTGTGTGTGTGTGTTGTGGGTGTGTGGTGTGTGTTGTTGTGTGTGTGTGTGTGTGTTGTGTGTGTGTTGTGTGTGTGTGGTGTTGTGTGTTGTGTGTGTGTGTGTTGTGTTCCACGCGGTTTAAGGGGAGCTAATTTCACGGCTTTTTATTTGCAGTGGTCTCAGGAGATGAGCCCCTCTATAAGCATTATCACTTCCAGCTGGTTCTAATGAGACAGAAGGGACAAGGGGCCAACACATACACACACACGCACCGGCACATTCATCATTTTGGGCCCTTCAACATAATAGTCATTTAATTCTATTAAATCTGTTATTTTTTTATAATCTAAGATGTACTCTTTTCAATATAATTTGAATGTTTTCAATCTCTTACATTTCTATTGTCTCTTTTTTATTATAATTGTATTACTGCTGTATATCTTACTGTTTCAAAACCCCACAACCGGCAGAAGGTTCTAAAATATTTTGAATGTTAAACTTGGATAAATGTTAAAAGTGACTCAGCTTTTCACCTTTCCCTCATGGCTGTAAGTAAACAAGTCAAGCCTGAAATAATGATATGTCCCCAAATGAACTGTATTCTACTCTATATGTATTGTTTAGAATGTTACCATATATATAGTTTTATAATACTAATCATGAAAAAAACGTTAAACTGCGTTCCTCGTTATGTAAATAATAATGCAGAGGACGATTGGCCTTCAATTTAGCTATTGCTATCGGTCTACTTGCCCACACACTGTTCTCATCATTACTTTCTCCTGATTTATCTTCTTTAGTGCTGGAACGGAAGTTACAAGAAATCATCAAATCAGTGATCAAAGACTTATTTTCAGATGCTATTATAGTATTAGTAACCAGTAATGGGCCAACACTGTGTGATGAAGGAATACAGTGAACCTTCAGATCATCATTTGTGACTGCACTATATTAGGATTAGGAATAGACATGTGTTCATGTAATAGACACCAGTGTGATGTGAACTATAGTGCACACATCCATCCCTCCAACTGTTCACTGACAACAATTGACTCTACTTCTGGTTCTACAAATGACCATGATCTTCAGTGGGCAGATAACAAAAACGTCTTCAATGCATTAATGGTGGAAGAGGATGAACCCTTACAGACACTGTTTGGCTCCATCCTCAGGCCAAATGTTAAAACTGCTGCATTCTCGAGTCCTTCAATCCTGTTCTGACTTTAGGCTGTCTTTTCCCATGCAGGTGCATCTGCGATCGGCAGAACGTCTTCGAGACTTGTGCTGTGCCAACCGGGGGACTTTCATCAAGGTGGGCCAACACCTCGGGGCCCTGGACTACCTGCTGCCTGAGGAGTACACGTCCACCCTGAAGGTGCTCCACAGCCGGGCTCCTCAGAGCAGCATGCAGGAGATCCAGCAGGTCATCAGAGAAGACCTCGGCAAGGAGGTACGTTGGACTGGGTCATAACTTCATGTACTAACTTATTCTTTGGTCTCTGTGTTGCTTTGGGTTTATAGTTTAGTTTAAAGGGGTCTGATGGCACAGTTATATGTTGTTCTCTGAAGGTAAGGGCATGTGCTGGTCCCTGCATGTGTGTGTTGCAGGAAGAAGAAAAAGGGCAAACAACACTATCTGTTTGACTATCTGTTCTAATGTCATTTAACAAGCAGCCGTCCTCCTGATGCCACCGGCAATGTTGCTTTTAGTGCATAGGGCCACGTCTGCTCTCAAACTAGTTGTTATGACAGCAGGCTGTCTCAGGTTGTGTGTGTGTGTGTGTGTGTGTGTGTGTGTGTGTGTGTGTGTGTGTGTGTGTGTGTGTGTGTGTGTGTGTGTGTGTGTGTGTGTGTGTGTGTGTGTGTGTGTGTGTGTGTGTGTGTGTGTGTGTGTGTGTGTGTGTGTGTGTGTGTGTGTGTGTGTGTGTGTGTGTGTGTGTGTGTGTGTGTGTGTGTGTGTGTGTGTGTTAAAGAAAAGGCTTACTTAGTTGAAAATATGACATAAGCATTTGTAGGGACATAGAGCATGTTGCTCCCCCAGAACATAAACGCGGTTTGCTTTGTGCTTCACACCAAAGTAGCTAAACCTCTAATACCTGCCTTTAATGGATATTATGGTGATTGTTGCAAATCACTGATTGTCTTGTTGAGACTGTTTTGTGTCAATGTTGGATTTTTATATAATGGCGCTAGATTGAGATATTCTTTGTGTACTTGAAGGAGATGCTGATCAAATCACAAGTGTCCAGATAGCAACACAAATATTAGAAATGACCCCGCAGTCAAACATGATGAAAAAAAAAGAAGCTGATCCAGGGCCTGCAGATCTTTGTCATGCCGTGATTTGAGCCATGAAGGAGCAGGACACATGACTATATGTATGACGAGCAATGATGACAGTATATCAATTGTATAAATGACAGCGACAGCCCATGGAGCTGAATTTTGCACAAATTGGTTCCATAAACAAGTGAATTAACAAACAGACTGTAGCCTCTGCCAACAATAAATAAAACCTGTAGATATGTTCCACTACGTTCAGCACCCGGGTCAGTGCACACACGCGCAGCGCTGTCCATGGTCCTGAAACTACAGCTACTCACATTACATGTGTCTTGTCAAGTTATTAGATTTGTTTTTATCCGTCTAAACATGCTTAGAAGGATGGGGGCCTGCCCAAAGCAAGACATACTGCATTGTGAAACATTGCAACAATATTGACATCCATTTTCCATTTGAATGGAAGTTAGGGAGTGATGGTATGTGTACTGTACATGGTCCCAAAAGTTTGCTGAATTATAATATAAATAATTGAAAACAGTATGTCTTCACAAGCCCCATGTCATTCAGAGCCACTTCTATTTTTTATCGAGATATAGCGTATCTTTCTAAAAGAGGGCAGCACAGTGAATGACCCCCCTCCCTTTGGGATTGGCAGCAGAATCATTTACTCTGATGAGCTCGGAGTCAGGGTGCAACTTCAGCGCCATTCTCTGTTTGGCTTCTTTTTTCACACATGAAGTATGCCTTCTCATGTTCGTTGAATATTCTCAAATGCAAGACGTAACTACTGCCTGCTGTTTTCAGCACTATTTCTGTTTACTTATGCATTTCTACTGTTCATGGATTTGGAGAGCTTTGCCCTAGATAAGGCCAAAAGGCTGTCATTTCCCATATAGAGTGAAACTACTGAAAGGCCATGATGATACTCAAAATAATCTGTTTCCAGGCCAGATATTACAACTAGTTAGTGGCATAGTGATTATTGAGCTTCAGGAATTGGCAGTAAGTTCTCATAGTGGAGTGTCCAACAATAAAACATGACCTTTCTGCTGATGCTGTTCTACTTTGTAACCACCTGTCAGACTGGATGTCCCTTCTCAAAGGATTCATCTTGTTGAATTCACACATTTTAAATTAACTACTGCCGTAATCTTTGCAAAGTTTTACCCACAGAAATTAAGTAATCTCATTTAGTCACTTGTTAGAGACTGCCTTTTGTATGACACATAACAAAGGGAATTTACATTTTTTAAATCCAAAATATACAAGACATATAAAAGTAAAGACCCTTTAAACAAAAAACAAACTATTTAATTCTCAGTTGAGTTCAATTAAATGAGGATTTGCTGTGTGTACAAACACATTCTTCCTTTATTACCAGATCCTGACCCTCACATTAAAACAGTTGGATAGTATGGAGTGGGAATTTGGATTTCCTCTTTTCATTTAAGCGATCTCTTTCATTCATGCTCTTCTGTGCTCTAATCATGTGTTTGTCCTAACACAGCTGGGGCCAACATGGCCACTTTGTAATGCTGAAAGAGACAGCAATGTGTTGCCATCCCAATGTAGAGCCTCAGGGGCCATTTTATGTGTGCCATAACTCATTTCAGGGAACGTATGTCACTGTGGGTCTGCCTTCCGGGAGGGGGGCCTGCACGCATACATTACCATGTGTATTAACTACATAGCTGAGATTAACATAAGCCGTGACTGAGTGGTAAGATTTGCCTTTGAACCGGAGGCTACAAGCCGGGCATTGGTGATACACGAACACTGCAAACATGACAAAGTGGTTGGACCATTCATTCCAACATTATTTATTTGTTTTAAATGTTCATGTTGATATTAGATCATTTGCAGCCATGCTTTGCAGACATTTGTTAAAATTGCTTTTGGCTTAAAATGTTCAGAGCCTGATTTAGAAATATAGATATAAGTAGATACCAGCTGGCTTCTACTGCATGGGGCAAACATTTGAGGGCCACCAAAAGGCTGATCATTCATAAGACATCTGGACACCAAGCTGCATACATGTAAAATAATACGAACAAGTTGAGAGAAAGGCCGCCCAATTGCAACAAGCAGCCCCTCGCCAGGGAATAAAACGTCTGTGGCCCCTCTTTGGACACTTGAGCCTGGGACTTGGGGACCCTCATGTACAAATCAGCTAGTGAAATGACAATGATCTCGGGGGACTTCATCCATGTTAGAATGGAAAGCACCCTGCCCAACTATGTGAGCTGTAGAACCAGAGAGAAGAGGACACTGGGAATGGTCTGAGGAAGCCTACCATACCCCTTTTCTACTGAACTTGCAAACTAAGTGTGAATCAGTTTGCTTTTCCTCCAACAAGAACATTGCAAGTGTGACGATCTGTGTCCTGCTTTGCTGTTGCTTTATTACAATCCACAGGAGCCAGGTTGAAATATCAGACGGATGGGATAGACACACAGATCCACCGTTTAGCCAAACTACAGTGAGATGTTGCTCTGTCCGCAGCTAAGAATCCTTTGACACTTTTACAGTGATCGTATAGTGGTATCATTTGTTTAGAGGAAAAGGATTCTAAATACAAATGTAAAGAAAACCAATAACATAAGCTGTTTTGTGAAAGAACGATAACAGATATCTGTGAAAGTTCAAAACGTGAAGGAAGTTGAGTATCTGAAGTGTAATTTTTGTGTACTTTCGGGTTAATAATGTGGCCTTTTTGGCAGTTTAACTAAAGGTGTGCGGCTGCTGCTGTGAGGAAATATCTGCCTGAAATTACAATGGGCTTTAATGGAGACATGTTGAACGTTTTTGTCACTTCATGGCCTCAAGAGGCATTTTGTTTAATTATTTTGCTGAATTATTTGTCATTTGTCAAGCTACGAGATGTTTTCCTACGTTTATCATGAAACATTATGTCTCAAAAATGTAGGGTTTGGGAATTATGGCAGTTTTAAAAAAAAATATGAAGGCACATTTCAAGATTTCTGACCCTCTAGCTGTGACATCACGCACTCTAGTTAATGTTAAAATCTGAAGAAGGCCTCTTTACCAAGGTCTGAACAATGTTTAATATCTCTAAAAGTAAGAATCTGATTTAAAAGTTGAGTTACACGAATAATGTCAGAAAGATGTGTAACATTTTAAAGTTGGAATGAGGTTTCTGAGTGAAAGTATGAATGAACAGTTAGCAGTTGAAGTCGCATGAAGATTTGTTGAAGTCTGAAGAATTTCTCCATTGACTCCATTGGTTAAAAATGTGATGAATTATGGGACGTATCTCTGGAATTATGAAAGTTATGAATGATAAAAGTAATAGCGCCCGATTCCCGACCGAGCTGAACGTTTTGATGTTTGAACGGAGTTTCTGCGATGTTGAATGTGGGAGGAGAAGACGGACAAAATAATTGGACGGAATAATAATAACTCGTTTGTCCGTAGCATAACATATAGTGGGAATGCTGTATCAGCATTCCCACTAAATTAAGACAAATAATGCTTCAAGTGTAAATATGCTGGATTTTAGCTTTGAGCTCATTTCCATCCGTAGTCCCTGACATACAACATATAAGAACATGACATTTATAAACATAGCAAAAAATAAATACATGATATGCAGAAAGAGCATGAGCAGCATATAAGCATTTACAATGTAGCAGCTACGACATGTAAAGTCCAGGAGAAGATAAAAGAGATACATCAAGTGCAAGAGGAGATACCCCTGTGTTAAAGTGCATCTAGCGGTGATTGCACGTCTGTTTGTTTCTCAACCATTCTTTGAGTTGACCTTTAAAACTGTTCAAAGTCTTCTTCGCTGCTTTTGTGGCAGACTACAGCGCCACTTACAGGCCTGGCATATGTACTACAGCGTCTCCAGCGCTTTCGAACGGCAATGGCCGTGGCTGTCTCCTCCTGATTGGTGGAGTTGGCCCAATAGCCGTAGCGCCACCGCCCTGACGTCAGGACAGTGTTCAAATCTGGATCAGTTTTTATCAGATCCGTTGCAGCCCCTTTTTTAGAGATTTGGGTATGGAGGAAAATAGAGAGGGTTGTGTTTTCTGACACTTGGTGAGTTCCCTGGAACACCGGGGACACATATTCATGTATAAAAGACGTACAAAAGTGCATTTTGCATGATAGGTCCCCTTTAACATAAAATATAAACAGTAAATGCAGATAGATACATATACACAAAATAGTACACGTAGATCACAATTATTATCATATTTACAACTGAGTGAACAGAGCAACAACTCACCCGCAGCTAAGAATCCTTTGACACTGAGGGATTCCCAAAATGCACCACATTCAGCGCAACACTTCCTTTCAAAATAAAATAAAATGGCAAAACTATGGCTGTAGTCCCAGTTTAACAGGATTTAAAAGGGGACCTATCATGCAAAATGCACTTTTTTATGTCTTTTATACATAAATATGTGTCCCCGGTGTGTCAGGGAACTCACGCAGCATCAGAAAATAAAACCCTCTCTCTTTCCTCCATACCCAAATCTCTAAAAACGGGGGTACAAACGGAGCTGATCCAGATTTGCGGCGATTTGACGTCAAATCGCCACATCGCCACGTCACAGCACTATCAGAAACGTTGCTATCAGAAACAATGCCCGACTGTTTTGGACGTAATATGGTCGGTGTTCACATTAGTATCGCTAACACTCAGAGCTAACCTGTACTGGAGAGCATGTGTGTGAAGAAGCAGGAAATAAAAAGGAACTCACCGGCAAGAGAGAAAGCCTTTGAGCTCCATACTGTTTCAGAAATAATCCTTGATAATCCATGATATGGCGTTTCATCACAGCAGTATCTGCCGGTAGAATCTCCCGCATGAGCAGGCATAAGCTCTGCCCCTCTTTTTTTATCAATTTTTTTTTTTTTTTAAAGCTTTATACATAAAATCAGCACTTTTGAAACAGGAAATGAAATAGAGGGATATGAGGCATGGCTAGAATGGGTGATCTGTTTGGTATTTTGAGCAAAACTCTTCATAGACATGTTTTTTATATATTTTTATATATTTTTATTAGGGCTGTCAGTCGAATAAAATATTTAATCGCATGATTGTCCATAGTTAATCGCGATTAATCGCAAATTAATCGCACATTTTTTATCTGTTCTAAATGTAAAGTTTTTAATACTCTTATCAACATATGAGTGGACAAATATGCTTTATGCAAATGTTTGTTTATTATCATTTGAACAATGACAAATATTCTCATGAATATTAAACACAACAACCTCTGAACATTACAAATATTCGCCTCAATTCAACCTGGAACCTCTCTCATACAATAATACAATACAAAGTGTGTGTGTGTGTGTGTGTTTGTGTGTGTGTGTGTGTGTGTGTGTGTGTGTGTGTGTGTGTGTGTGTGTGTGTGTGTGTGTGTGTGTGTGTGTGTGTGTGTGTGTGTGTGTGTGTGTGTGTGTGTGTGTGTGTGTGTGTGTGTGTGTGTGTGTGTGTGTGTGTGTGTGTGTGTGTGTGTGTGTGTGTGTGTGTGTGTGTGTGTGTGTGTGTGTGTGTGGACACTGTGATGGATCGTTGGAGCTATGAGCAACTCAAGGCATATATGCTCGAACGGGAGCTGCCTGGACGCTGCAATCATGTTGCGCGTACTATCCGTGCTGAGTGTGCTGACTTTTCGTACAATGTCCCACTGTCTGGCTACCTGCATAAAGTCAAGTGCTCGGCGCAGTTGTCGGCGAAATGTTTTCATTGAAACAGCTCCTTATGGGTTAGGTCCGGGCCTGCCGGTGAGCGTGGAAGTGTGGTCTGCCGCAAGCGGGCGGCAGCATCAGCTTGTAGATGGTATTTTAAACTCGATGCGCTCTGAAACTACGGGGCGGCCGAGGACAAAAAATACACATGCGTTAATCGCGTTAAAATAATTAGTGGCGTTAATTTTTTTTTGCGTTAACGCGTTAACTTGACAGCCCTAATTTTTATATATCTGAGACCTATGCTATTGCCTAAAAATAGCATGATAGGTGACCTTTAATAAAACAAACATTCATTATTTACACTGTTACACAAGCACATTTTATTTTTTGCCACTATGATTCAGTAGCATTTTCCCGACCGCTGGAGTGGTATGACACTCGACCGGCGTTTAGCCTGAGGTTTCCTACTGAAAGTAGTAATGTGGCTGCAACACCAGTAGCTTCCCCTGATGCACATGTCGGCATGTCTCCATGAATGTATATATTTTTTCAGTTTATTTGACAATGGCAACATAGTTACGTAATAAAGGTTTGTATAATGTAAGTTCCTCTTGTAGATCAGGGATGGGCAACTTGGATGGTGGTGGGGGCCACATAATTTATGTACTGGCCACCAGGGGGCCGCAAATTCACTTGGAACACACACACACACACACACACACAAATTAGTAGTAGTGGCCGCTCAAGTTGCTTACTTTCATTACAGCAACGGTCTGCAAACATACTAAACATTATGGTTTACCCCTGAATTCAGTGAAAATATATTCTTTCTCACACTTTTCTTGGAAAACACGATTTTCCTCAGATACCTTTCTCTTGCTCATGCTGACATCCACAGAGGGCTGTGCTCTTATGTGATCCGCTCTATCGAAATCAGGAAGTCGCAACGGCTCATTTCAGAATAAAAGTGGATTTGTGTAAAAAACTAGTTTTTCGGGGTTCGGGTGTTTTGTTTGATTTTAAATAAACAAAGTCTTTCAGAATAGGAAACTTTTATTGCCAACATCACACGATAAATACATGTTTGAAGCTTGTAAAGGGAAGATGACAGGCACCTCTCACTCGGCTCTTCCGCAGCGCCGCTCCCCCTCCCTCCCGCTGACATTATGAATGAAAGGCGTATAGTAATCATAGATAACACGACAGTTTGTTTTCATCTGATTTCAAATAAACAAAGTCTTGGTTTATAGAATATTAAACTTATTTCGGCAAATTCAAATGATAAATAAAACTTTGAAGCTAACGGCATAATTACAAGTGGAGAACGGAGTAACTTAACGTCACAGCAGGCATAACAACAGCCGGTGTTTCTTGTGAGTGTTTCCCCGCGAAACAAACACAATACACACAAACGCGTCACAGATTATTTCGCGGTATTTGGCTGCCGAACGAAATCATGTAGTATCAGTACTACAAGTAAAACAAATTTAAAAAATATTTTTTTTTTTATTACGTTGTTTTCTAAATGTATCTGAGGGCCACAAAAAGAGGAGGTGGGGGCCTCATGCCCGGTCCGCCATTTGCCCATCCCTGACATAGATGGTTAAACTTTTGGGTTGTTTGCTCCTCTTCCTCCCCTAGCTTTCGAGACACAACAAAAGAATGTCACTGAACGTCACACACTCTCCTGCCTATCAACAACTGGGGTTACATTGAACCGTTAAAAGTGTGCTTGAATGCAAATCAGTTTACCTTGTGTCAGCTGAAATGGTGTTATTTTCATGCAGGGGGTGAAAAGTTAGGACGATTCTAAGGGCCCATGACTGACAGGGGCCCAAACAATTTTAGAACATTAAGAAAAAAATGTTTAAGTAACCAATGACTCTTATCTTCTTCATCCCTTTCTGTCTCCCTCAGCTGTCAGAGTTATTTCTGTCCTTTGAGGAGGAGCCTCATGGTGCAGCCTCCTTAGCCCAGGTCCACAAGGCACTGCTGCATGATGGGAGGACAGTGGCCATCAAGGTTCAACACCCCAAAGTCCAGAGCCAGAGTGTCAAGGACATAGTGATGATGGAGGTGAGTTCGTCTCTGTGAATTATTAAATTAAGTGTTGGGCACTGTTGGCCTGGGGGACAACAATAGTGGGTGCACCAGGCTAAAGCGGGAGTTGAAGCTTCAGCGCAGTTGGCGCCGACAGCAGAGGACCTTCATTGATCCCCTGAGGGGGAAATTCAGTTTTATATACACGCACATGCATTTCTTTTGTTATATACATACATACATAATCATATACTGTATGTATATAGAGCTTCTTTATAGTAGATTTCTTTCCTCTGACTTGAATTACCCAGTGCTGAATCCCATCAACAGCACTTGTCCTGATCAACTGTATGCTGTCAGACAGACAGCATATCAATCTATGTGTAAATTCCTAATTTATTGGATTTTGAAACTGATTCTAATTTGTAATTTCAAGGTGCTGGTGAAAGCGGTCCATTGGCTCTGCCCAGAATTTGCCTTCATGTGGTTGGTGGATGAGGCCAAAAAGAACATGCCACTGGAGCTGGACTTTCTTAGAGAAGGACAGAATTCTGAGAAGGTGGCCAACATGCTGGCCCACTTCCCCTTTCTCAAGGTACACACACAAGTGCAGTTCAAACATTTCTACCAAGCTACATCTTATACCTAAAACCTCTTTGGTTCAGTTTTGTTCTGCTTTTATACTACTTGTATGAGTTGGCATTTGAAAGAAACATAAACCCTGGAAGTGTCAAGGTTCTAGAGTGCGGACCCAAAAGCAGTAAAAACAGGGAGGCAGGTGTGGGGAAGCAAACAAAAGGCAAGCTTTTATTAAATAAAAAGCTTGTTCACATAAAAAAACGGCAGGAGCAGGCAAAGAGGAACAAAAGGGAAAAGTAACAAACAAACCGGGAAAATACAGGAGGGCAGACCAGGGAAATCTAGACACGACATCAGGACAAGACCCCACGGAAATTGACGACGACCGAACAGGGAACACAAGGGAAGGCAAGACTAAATACATAGGGGTCATCACAGGACAAGACACAGCTGGAGAGGGGAGGTGAAGCACAGGGGCAACAGGTGAACACAATGGACCTTTCCCATTTATCTTATTTCCCCTCCTCGACTCCTCTCCTTGACTCCTATCCTCGTGACTTAGTCCCGCCTACAGGAGATGCGAGCGGAGGAGTCGAGGAGGGGAGCCGAGGAGAGAGGAGGGGAAGCAGCAGGCGGTTAGAGAAATGAGAACTCCTCTCCTCTGAGCGGTCATTTTAAAGAGACGTCCATTAATGATGACAGGAGGCACAGCAGCCCTCTGTCTGATGGACAGATGTGTTCATGACGACTTATATATTTACTTTTAATTCATTCACAGTGCAGTATAATGAGACAATAACAGGCTACAGATGCGGACATACACAAACACACACACACACACACATATGTATTTATATATATATATATATATATTTATATTTTTTATTTATTTATTTAATCGTTTATATGAATCGGGACAGTGCACATTGATGAACACTTTAAAACAAAATAATGCTTACAAGTGTAAATGAGCCGGATTTTAGCTTTGAGCTAATTTCCATCCGTAGTCCCGTCACATACAACATATAAGAACATGACATTTATATACATAGCAAAATAAATACATGATATGCAGAAAGAGCATGAGCAGCATATAAGCATTTACAATGTAGCAGCTACGACATGTAAAGTCCAGGAGAAGATAAAAGAGATACATAAAGTGCAAGAGGAGATACCCCTGTGTTAAAGTGCATCTTGATTGCACGTCTGTTTGTTTCTCAACCATTCTTTGAGTTGACCTTTAAAACTGTTCAAAGTGGGACAATCCCGTATCTCAGTTGGGAGGCTATTCCACAAAGAGCTGCCTTTAATTGATAGAACATTTTGACAGAAAGTGGTCCGTCTGTGGTGGACCTCACAGTCTCCTCTGGTTTCTGACCTAGTGCAGCGTCCACTGTGTTTTCTGTGGATGAATTCCCCTAAGGGGGGGGGGGGGGGGGGGCAGTCCATGTAAACATTTATAAATAAAACACATACTTTTAAAAGACTTAAAATTGTCAAAACTCAAGAAATGGTGTTTCTCAAGGATGGTGCAGTGGTGGTATGAATAAGGCTTTCTGTCAAACACCTTGATAGCTCTCTTGTACAGCTGTTCTATTGGTTTCAGGTTTGTGGCACAAGCAAACGACCAGTTTGTAAAACAGTATTCAATGTGGGATAGAATCATACAGTGGAGGTATGACTTTGCAGCATTGACAGTTAAGAAAGGTCTAATTTGTTTAAAATGTTGCAAGTTGAATTTAATGGTATTGGATACTTTCTTGATATGTTTCTTAAAAGTCAAGTTTGAGTCCAGTATGACTCCAAGATACTTGAAGTGGGAGACTAGTTCTATTTCTGCTCCGTTTAAAAACACATTGGATCTGGATATAAATATATACAATTTCAGAAACAAACAAGTATCAGAGCACTCTCATAATAACGTAACACTATCAGTGTTACGTTACCCCCCCTCTCTGGTCGCTACAATGGGGAATTGAAATTACGGGCCAAAAGTTTTATTTACAAGTATTAAAAGCAGAAGAAACCATACCAACTGAGACCCGTCTGTCCGCCGCATCTATGCACACACACGCACCTACACACTGTACAACACGCACAGCTCCTAAAGCATATCATATATATCAGGATACAGCCGTTGTGTATTTTATTATGTGAAGCACTAAATGGTTTTAGAAAGATATCGACTCTTTGTTTGTAGATATCTACTTAACTAAAGCATACAAATAAAGAGAGTAATGTAGGTCTGTTATATATTATTGAGTGATATATATTATACACACTGTTATGCTTTCTGCATGGACCTCAGCAGCTGTTCTCACTGTAAACAAAGACAGCCAAATATTAACCAAGAAGCATGCATCAAAAAAATGTAAAAACTAACAAAATTACACAATTTACAAAATAGACATCCTGTAACAGTTCTGAGAGATATAGCAGCCAGGTATAACAAGGGGTCTACCAGGGCCCGTGGTGGTTGTACAGTCTGACCACTGCAGGAAGGAAGGACCTGCCGTATCTCTCCGTGAGACAGCCTGCCACTGAAGGAGATGCACAGTGAGGACAGGGTGGAGGGGGGGGGGTACACATTGTCCAGCAGGGAGACCACCTGTCTCCCACCACCTTCACAGTGTCCAGAGGACCCCCCCAGGACAGAGCTGGTCTTCTTTATCAGTCTGTTCATTCTCTTCCTGTCAGCAGCCGAGATGCTGAGCAGACCACACCATAGAAGATGGGTGAGACCACCACAGAGTCATAGAAGGTCTGCAGGAGGGCCCCCTCACCCCAAAAGACCTCAGTCTCCTCAGCAGGTACAGTCTGCTCTGTCCCTTCTTGTACAGAGCAGCAGAGTGATCAGTCCAGTCCAGTTTATTGTTCAGATGAACATTCAGGTATTTGTAAGATTTCACAATCTCTATGTCCGCTCCCTGGATGTTCACTGGTGTCGGGGGAGAGTGCTGAAGCCGTCTGTAGTCTACCACCAGCTCCTTGGTCTTCCCTGCGTTGAGCTGGAGGTGGTTCCTCTGGCACCAGAGGGTGAAGTCCTGCATCAGTTCCCTGTACTCCCTGTCGTCCTCGTTGGAGATGAGGCCAATGATGGCGGAGTCGTCAGAGAACTTCTGCAGGTGACAGGTAGCAGGAGTATCCAGCAAGAGCTGAGGGACAAGCTGAGGAGGGGCAGAGATTCCAACAGGAAGAAGCTGGAGGCCAAGCTCCAGCAGAACAATAGCAGGGATGTCTGGGCTGGGATGAAGGCCATCCAGTGATGGCCTTCATCCCAGCCGAGACTTCAAAGGGAGAGACAGACTGAGGCCCAGGCCCCACGGGAACGAAAACGGGTTGTATCCACATATTTCTCTTGCGTATAGCCCTTTTTGCCACACGACGCCGTAACGGAACGATAGAAACGGTGTTAGCATTTTTCGCTTGTTGCTAATTCAGAGGCTCAGTGTTAGCATTGTGGGTTGTCTTTTGAAAAAAAAAAAAAAAATGATCAGTTAGATGAGTTTCTTCCCGTTACATGGATATAAAACATTCATAGTTTATTAAATGAACATGCCCTCAGACACTGTTTCCTGCAAGATGTTGCGGCAGTGCCCTGGTACCAGGGTCTCTCGGGCTTAACAGGTTAAGTAATCACACAACTGTTTTGCGATTGCTTTCTCAATAATTTTTGAGAGGAACGGAAGATTAGAAATAGGTCTACAGTTGGCTAAAACCTCTGGATCGAGGTTGTGCTTTTTAAGAAGCGGTTTTATCACTGCTACTTTGAATGATTGTGGAACATAGCCTGATAATAAAGACATATTCATAATAATTAATAAACAAGTGTTAATTAATGGAAAAACCTCCTTTAACAGCTTAGTTGGAATCGGGTCTAAGATACACGTTGATGGTTTAGAAGAGGGAATCATTGAATTTAATTGTTCAAGGTTTATGGGTGAAAAGCATTCTAATTTACTATCTAGTGTAATATTAGAACTTACATTTCCGGGAGCTGTTGATAACACTATACTGGTCAAAGGCAAGAGGTCATTCATTTTGTTTCTAAGAGTAACCATTGTATCATTAAAAAAGCACATAAAATCATTACTACTGAGTGCTATTGCTGCACATACAGAAACCTCCCCGTGGTGCAGCCTGCGAAACGCTGGTTGAATGAGATATACATCCAAGAGGATGTAATCTGATACTGCCAGTAGGCCAATCTCTGTATACTTACCTACGTAATCAAATGATGAAGATGCCTACCGGATCTCGACAGCGTCACAGATACCTGCCCCTCTCTGGACCCGCACTGTCAATCGTCTCAATCAACATCGAAGGTTTCTCCGGATGCAAGGCAGAGATACTGGCAATGATGGCCAATCGTTTTGACATACTCTGCATGCAGGAAACCCACATCGGCCCTGCACAACACCGACCTACCATCCCTGGAATGAATCTGGTCGCTGAGACCCAACACAGACAGTATGGATCAGCTGTTTTCAGCAGACCAAACCTCAAGATTGAGGAAGTCTGGACCCACACTACGGAAGGAAACATGGAAACCATCACAGTTGCCCTCCCAAATGTCTCTGTCACATCAGTCTACAAACCACCTGCAACCCCTTTTCTGTACACAGACCTACCAGAAAGATGCAAGAGGAGATTCCATATCAGCATCGGCGACTTCAATGCCCACAGTACATCATGGGGCTATGAGAACAACAACCAAGATGGAGATGAAGTTGAGACCTGGCTTGAGTCCAAGCACCTGACCCTAATCCATAAAGCTAAACTACCCAAATCCTTCCACAGTGCCAGATGCAAACGAGGATACAACCCAGACCTCGCCTGTGTAAGCAGTGACATTGCATCCAGAACTGAGAAGGAAGTCCTGGACCCTATCCCCCATACCCAGCACCGGCCAATTGCCATCACCGTTAGATCCGCTCTCCAAGCAACCACCGTCCCATTCCGCAGGAGGTTCAACCTACGGAAAGCCGACTGGTTGTCATTCCAACAGGAGATAGAGCATTCCATATCTAACATACTACCATTTCCCAATAACTACTCCAACTTCACAGACTTGGTAAAAAGGTCAGTCAGACGTCACATACCCAGGGGATGCCAGACACAGTATATTCCTGGGCTATCAGAAACATCCAGCGACCTGCTGAAAGCCTACGATGAGGAATAAAATAAGGACCCTTTCTCCTCTACCACCATGGAACTTGGAGAGACCCTGATCAGTGAAGTTGTGGATGAACGAAGGAAAGTCTGGAAGGAAATGATAGAGAACACCAATATGACAAATAACAACAGGAAGGCATGGGCTACAATCCGCCGTCTTGGCGAAGGCCACACCACACCACCCATAATCACAACGGTCACAACAAACTCAGTTGCATCACAGCTGGTGGTCAACGGCTGTAACCAACACCGCCGCCAACCCACAGGAGAACACCATCGCACAGTGGTATCAGACCAACCACAACCAGCCAGCCCTCTCACCAAACCCTTCGACATAGAAGAACTTGAAACTGCAATGGGTAAGCTGAAACCCGGAAAAGCAGCAGGGATTGATGACATACTGGCAGAAATGATACAGCACCTGGGACCTAGAGATGCTGAACACATGTATGGCACCAAAAACCATCCCTCCTGTCTGGAGAAAGGCCAAAGTGGTTGCAATCCCCAAACCCGGCAAAGACCCATCATCCCCAAAGAGCTACCGACCCATTTCCCTCCTCTGCATCACTTACAAGCTCTATGAGAGGCTGCTACTCCAACGCCTCATGCCACTCATAGACACCAAGCTGACTAAAGACCAAGCTGGTTTCCGTCCTGGCCGATCCTGTGCTGGACAGCTACTCAACCTCACCCAACACATTGAGGATGGGTTTGAAAGAAAACAAATAACTGGAGCAGCATTCATAGATCTTTCTGCTGCCTATGACACTGTCCAACACCATGCAATGGTCAGGAAACTACTGGACATGACTGGTGACCTGAATCTGTGTCAAGTCATCAAAAGCCTACTCAAAACAGGCGCTTCTACGTCCAGTTAAATGACCAGAGGAGCAAGTGGAAAGCCCAAAAGAACGGCCTCCCACAAGGTAGCGTACTGGCCCCCCTCCTGTTCAACATATACACAAACGACCAGCCATTACCCCCAGAATGCCAGAGTTTCATCTACGCAGATGACCTCTGCATCACCACCCAACAAGTAGACCTCCAGAAGATTGAGCCTGTCCTTGAAAGTGCCCTCCAAGAAATGTCAAGCTACTACAATAACAACCACCTAAAACCCAATTAAGCAGCTTCCACCTGAGGAACCGAGATGCTAAAAAATAACTGAGCGTCACCTGGGATGGCCACAAACTGTCCAACCATACGCATCCCATTTATCTTGGTGTTACACTGACACTCTCCTTCAAGAAACACCTGGAGAACACCAAAGCCAAGGTCAACACCCGCAACAACATCCTGCGCAAACTAGTGAACTCCAAGTGGGGCGCAGATCCACCAACAATCCGTGCAACTGCCATGGCCCTGTGTTTCTCTACAGCAGAGTATGCCTGCTCAAGCTGGAGCCGATCACGTCACACCAAACTGGTCGACACAGCCTTGAATGACACCTGCCGCATCATCACGGGATGCGTTAAGACAACACCTGTCCCGTGCCTCTATGCGCTAGCCGGCATCTCTCCCCCACACATCAGACGACTGGGTATCGCTCAAGATGAACAGAGAACACAGGAGACAGACATCAGACACCCCTTGCATGGCCACGTAGCACCCACACGCAGGCTCCGATCCAGAGCCAGTTTTGTGCAGACAGTCCTGCCCCTCCACACAACCAAACAAGCAGCAAGGACCAATATCTGGGAAGATGAAAGGCAAAGAAATGACACACAAGCTCTTGAATGGCTGGACAGAGGAATCACACCAACGGAAAGCCTCGCTAGTGGCCACGACCTTGGCTGGACAACCCGGAAGTCACTTAATAGACTGCGTGTGGAACAGGGGAGGTGCAAAGCACTGATGAAAGTGTGGAACTACACCACAGAAGACACGTGCAGCTGTGGATCAGTGCAGACAATGTCCCACCTACTGGAATGTGCCGATGCCCCCCGGTGCAGTCCAGAAGACCTGGCAGAACCTACCCCATCAGCTGTGGCCTGTGCCCGATACTGGCAGAACGACATCTGAGATTGCTACGGACTCGAAGAAGAAGAAGAGTGCTATGGGAATAGAAGGCTCAATAGAGCTGTGGCTCTCTGTCAGCCTGGCTACAGTGCTGAAAAGAAATCTTGCATTATTCTTATTCTCATCTATTAATGAAGAGTAGTAAGCTGCTCTCGCTTTACGCAGTGCTTTCTTATATTCATTGAGAGTAATATGCCAAGTTAAACGAGATTCTTCAAGTTTAGTGGAACGCCATATCCTTTCAAGTTGTCTCGATTTTTGCTTTTGGTTTCGGCATTATGCCATGGAGCTAATCTATGTTGTTTTATTTTCTTCTTTTTCAAAGGAGCAACAGAGTCTCATTTTATTCGCAGCGCATCTGTAGCACTATCAACAACATGATCAATTTGGGGTGGTGTACATTTTGTATAAGTTTCCTCCCTTACATACAGACATGCTATCGAGTTAAGTATTGGTGGAATCTCTTCCTTAAATTTGGCTATAGTGCTAACAGATAGGTTTCTGCTGCAGGAGCTTTTGACTAATGCTTTGTAGTCTAGTAACAGTACTTCAAAAGTTACTAAGAAATGGTCGGATAAAGCAGGATTATGCGGTTCGACTAATAGTTGCTCAATTTCAATACCATAAGTCAGAACAAGGTCGAGAGTGTGATTATAGCAGTGGGTTGGACAGGCCATCTGAACCTATTTATATAATCTGTTCAATATTTAATATTAATATTCCATCTGTCATATATTTATGTATATATACATGTGTATATATAATACCTTGTTACATTTAACATGTATATTTTCTACTTTCTTGTTTATTTCTAGTCTTTTAATTTGTATTGTACAATGCCATGTCTTTTTATGCTGCTGTAACACAAACATTTCCCAAATTGGGATCAATAAAGTACCATCTTATCTTATCTTATCTAATATTACATTTTATTCCCAATAAATTTAATATTTTCTATTATGTTTAAAGCCTGCCAGAAGGATTTCTACATAACTATTTTTCTATTTAAAAAAGTTTTGTATATTTGAATAGAGGTTTGTTAGCTCTAAGTAGGTAGGTCTATCCTGTTTCAGCCTGACAGGCCATCTGAACCTAGATCTTCATGTATGTACACCTGTAACACTTTATTCATCTCTCTTTACAGGTTCCCAAGATACATTGGGATCTGTCCACAAAGAGGATTCTGACCATGGAGTTTGCTGAGGGGGGGCAGGTAAACGACAGGGAATACATGAAGAAACACGGCATCGATGTCAACGAGGTACTGCCTGCTCTGTGTGTCGGTTGGTTACAAAGCTTATACTAAACTGACTGATAATCACACACACACACACACACACACACACACACACACACACACACACACACACACACACACACACACACACACACACACACACACACACACACACACACACACACACACACACACACACATACACATACGAACACAAACTATCAGTGTGTCTCAGCCTAGCATAGACAGATGACTTAAAAATCATTGATGAAAGTGGAGAAACGCCATAGCTGCCCAAGCAATATCTCTATCTATTATATCTAGAATGAAATGCATTCTCCCTGTGTTCACTATGTAGCTCTAGACAAAAGGCTGACCTTCTGTTGACAGTCGGTGGCACACCCCCATGCACAAGAACAATATCAGACAACAGAGGTTGTTTTTTTTAAGCATGCTAGCCCTAAAAAACAACTTCCTCTCATGATGAATGATGCATCGCAACAGTGTTTCATTAAACGAGAAAAACATTGCAGTTTTGCATCGTGAACGTCTTAACATTTTGCTGACAAAATTGGAGTTCTAGTAGGAGCTCAAAATACAAATACTTACCTGAAAGTGAGCACAATAAGTTCTTCTTTAATCTTTATCATTGTTAGAGTTCAAAGGCGAAAGATATGCATAAATTGCACATACATTTTGAAATCATGGACCTCCTGTTGGATTTACAGCTTATGTCTAGGAGATATTGTTTGTTTCCAAATGTTACATATAGCGATGCAATAATTGAAGTGGGGGGTCTTTACTTTGAAAGCTCTTTGTGGACATCGAGGAGCCAATTCACCACACCCCGGACACAAATCTGTCACGGTCTGTCTGTTTTCCTGTTTTATTTTGACATTTATTTTCTCCTGGTTTCTTACTCCCTGAGTTGTCCGTCCTGTGCCTGATTGTCTCATTGTGTTCACCTGCTGCCCCTGTATTTCACCTAGAAAAGATCTTTGGATAACATGTACTGTATGGGTAGACGCAGACAAACCAAGGGTTTCAAAATAACATTACATTTGCTGCACTTTAAAGCTATACACACAATAACTTCCAATCAATCAGCACAACAATACCACGACTATACACAAATCATAAATGTCTTCATGTCCAAATAACTAAGCGCATAAATCATTATTAACAATATAAAAAATACACCAAGATTGTCACACTTACTAAAGGTGAGACAATAGCGAGTACATTCTAAATGTGTTGTGACTTGTCATTTTTGAATTTTTCTCCTTTCTTTCTATATCATGTCTCCAACAGATCTCAGAGAACCTGGGCAAGATCTATAGTGAAATGATATTTGTCCGTGGCTTTGTTCACTGTGACCCGCACCCGGGCAACGTCTTGGTCCGAAAGTGTCCTGAGAGCAAGAAGACCGAGATCACCCTGCTTGATCACGGTCTTTATCAGGTAACAAATCTACAGGCTGCCTGCAGATAAAAAAACTCTATTTTTCATGCCGCTGGCCTAGGCTAAAAGCCTTGGTACATACATTGGTAGAGCAGCAAACACACAGTCAAGATGCCCGTAATAAATCATGGCTTCCGCACACACTATCACATGCAGACACACTTCTATTAGAGCTACAGCACCATAAAAGCTTTTTGATAAACAACTAATTTGATGTTGTGCTTAGCAGAGTGCAGGATGTTGTGTTGCGATGTGTGCACCACAGCTTTAGTGATACAGTCACACACACACACACACACACACACACACACACACACACACACACACACACACACACACACACACACACACACACACACACACACACACACACACTGCTCTTACAAACACTTGTGTTACACTCAGTTTGTTAGCTGCTTGTTCCTGTATTCATAAAGAATTAAGGTAGTCCTTCAAAATTGGCACACACAAACGCATGCATGCACACAAGCAAACAAACTAACACACACACATTTTTTTCTGGAACCATAATGGTACCAATTAACTCCTTATGACTTCTGAGTACAGCTGTCATTTTGGAGTAGAATATTGTTTCACTCCTTGTGTACATGTAAATATAAAATGAATATAAAGACAACACACCCACAACTTGCAGAAGTTATGATGATTTTTACTTAGATAATGATTCTTTGTCAACATACCTAGAATCAGCGTGTGTACCTACTTTGTACTTCTACTCCTCTACAATTCAGAGGTAAATGGTATACTTGTACTCCACTACATGTCTGTAATACCTGTAGTTACTTTACAGATGTGGATGAATGATGTGAAATATAATCAAGTGTTAAATCAGACTTTAGTTCCACCTGGAGTAAATTCACAAGCTACCCTGCAGTATACAAAGTCATTCAAACTAGCTGCACCTTTACCAGCTTTGAGAACACTTTCATGATCAATCATTATAAAACATATCATATATATTATTCTGAAATGGACCAATCTGCACAATAATGTAAGATTCTGGTACTTTTACTTAAGTACAAGACCTGAGTACTTCTCCCCCCCCCAGGTCCTGGAGCCAGACTTCAGGTTGGACTACTGTCGGTTGTGGCAGGCTCTGATTAGAGGGGACATGTCGGGGGTGGAGCTGTACAGCCGCAGACTGGGGGCTGGAGATCTGTTCGCGCTGTTCGCCTGCGTGCTCACTGCTCGATCCTGGACCGCTGTGAACGCCGGCATCAGCTCTGTGCCTGTCACACACTCTGAGGTAGGCCTACTGTATGAGCTCCAACAGACGGATAGTGCATGTTCAGAGTATTTATTCAGATGATTGCCTTTATTTAACAAAGTGCATCACAGGTTACAGTCCATAAAACATGTCTATAGCCTAGAAATATAAATGTTGAGCCCACTATGTAAAGTGTGGGATGTTGAACAACATACAGACACGGTATTATTGTCCACACTGTGTTTAGACAGCAGCAATCAGCCAAATCACTACCATCGTTCTATAGAGAACCGCAGTGACGCGTCCTAAAACCCGGAAGTAAACTCCTTCCGGTTCCTTCGTCAAAAACGCAACGCAATTTCTTAATAGGATTTTGGAAAATAGCTGGAAATAAAGTCTGTGGTTGACACACATTTAAGAGACGGACCACGTTTTGTTCAGCCGGATAATATCCACATGTCTACCCTACTTTTATAATTTTCGAATCATAAATCTAGTCACCAGAAGCAAAATGCTAACGTTATGCTATAAACGAACTACAGTCGCTGCTTCAACGTCACGCCAACTTAAGATCCATATTCAAACATACAGATTCTAAATGGTACAAGTTGAAGCGTTTGTTTGAACAGTTTGCAGGAGGCAGGTACTTGCTTTCAAGCAGAACAGGGCAAACAAACTTAGCGGGAGTGTTTTACGTGTTCGGCGTAATGACGTACAACGTCCTCGACAACTTCTGTAGTCCTATTCAGCCACTTGGTAACAACCATCGTTTTTCAGACACGTAAACTCTTCAAAATCACCAGCGGGGTCACTGCTGATGTATTTAATGTCGTAGAACAAAACGTGATCTGTCTCTTCAATGTGTGTCAAACACAGACCTTATTTCGAGCTATTTTCCAAAATCCTATGGAGAAATTGCATTGCTTTTTGTCGAAGGAACCGGACGTGGTAAAAATGCTAACTTACTTCCGGGTTTTAGGACGCGTCACTGCGGTTCTCTATTGGCACAAGTTGGACGAATATAAATATGTGTCCCCGGTGTGTAAGGAGACTCACAAAGTGTCAGAAAACGAAACCCTCTCTCTTTTCCTCCTTACCTCTCAAAACAAGGGGGTACAACGGAGCTGATCCAGATTTGCTGCGTCATGACGACATTACTAAAATGTGGGCTGGCTTTGAGCCCACGGCCCTATCAGAAACGTCGCTGTATCAGAAACAATGTGCGACGTGTTTTGGAAGTAATATGGTCTGTGTTTACATTAGCAAGCATCGCTAACACTCAGAGCTAACCTGTACCGGAGAGAGTATGTGTAAAGAAGCAGGATATAAAAAGGTACTCACCTTGTGGTAAACCCGCAAGAAAAAAAGCATTTGTTTCAGAAATAATCTTTGATGTGGTTTTGAACATGATATGGCGTTTAATTTTTTTTTGTAAAGCTGTATACCCACAATCAGCACTTTAGTAACAGGGCTGGAATAGAGGGGTATGAGGCATGCCTTGAATGGTTGATCTTTTTTTTTTAATTCTTTTTTTTTGCACTTTTATTGTCATTACATAGTACAGGTACAATGTAACAAAATGGTTTCTCTACATTTGACCCATCCTAGTGTTAGGAGCAGTGGGCTGCCATTATGAACGGTGCCCGGGGAGCAGTGTAGGGAACGGTGCCTTGCTCAGGGACACCTCAGTAGCACTTGGTCTTGCCGGGACTTGAACTGGTGACCTTCCAGTTGCCAATCCAAGTCCCTATGGACTTCGCCACCACCGCCCAGTCCTGTTTGGTATTTTGAGCAAAACACTTCATAGACCTGTTTTTTATATATTTTAATTTATATATCTGAGACCTATAATATATGCCTAAAAATAGCATGATAGGAGACCTTTAATGGTGGATTGCTGTTTCACTTGCAAATATCAGACTGGTCTCTGTAGCTGTTCAGACTCAACACTACACAGCAGAGTGGATTAAGTCAAAAATGATATATGAAGTCAAATTAAGAAATGTCACCATAGGGACAGTGCAAGTAAAAGGCAAATAAAATGAGTTGACAAACATAATAAATAACAAAACACACGTTAATAAAATAGAGAACAGTTCCAAGGTACAAAAACAAATAGCAGTAGTGCAGTAGAGAACTAGCAGCCAGTGCTGACAGTTTTCAATTGTGAATGTTGGTTTTCCTCTCAGTGGTGGAAGTTCTTTACGTTCCTGTTTTCAATGATTTTTTAAAAGGTTTTCTTAGAGCCTTTAATTTAATAGGGCAGGAGATGGACAAGGAAGAGGGAGATAAAGGAACACACGCAGAAAAGGTCGGACTGGAACCAGGTCTCAGCCTTGGTCTCATGTGCGTCTGCTCTACGGCGGCGGGTTGAACTGGAAAGCCGACTGTGAGCGAACCTTATCATCCGACATCAGCTGGACCTCACTTATGCTTTTATGGCTGAATTTAAGTCTGTATCACAGCACGTTAATGCCCATGTGGGAGGATATCCGCCTTTGGCCATGTTGTTTTTCAGGATATTTTACCAAATATTTGTCACACTTCTTTCAAAGCCAAGGGCGCCAAAATACCTACATTAAAATTAAAAAAGTTGTCAGTTATTTAGATTTTCCTCCTGGTATGATTGTTTCTAGGATCCACATACATGAAGCTGGTTTGTGTGTGTTAGTTGGTCCCATTACCCACAGGGGTTCCACAGCGCCATCTGTGCTCAAGAGGATTATTTATACCTCTCTTATGCAACAGTTTGAAGCTGGCAAAGGTGCTACACTATAGTCTGCTACAGTGTCTACCCACTCACACATGACAGGCCATACAAAGCAGAATTAAGCAGGGACCAATACATAAATAGCTTTGTGTGTCTTTTTCGGTAAAATCTTTTTGTAAATCATAAGGTAGAGCTAACATGACACTGAGACAAAGAAGTATACACTTTCTTGTTGTGGAATGTGCCTGAACATGTTTCAAAATGTAACAATAGCTCAGCCCCACGTACAGTATACTGTCAGACCTTATAGAGCATTAACCTGTTTAGCCAGAGAGCCCCCGCCCAAATACCCATTTAACGGGAAGAAACTAAGCTAACTGACAATACCATTTTTACCGAAACAAAACACAAGTCTCACAAGAAGCGTCTAAATGAGCCCTGAGTGAAAAAATGCTAACACACAGAACTCTAGTTATAAATACCCTTATTACTTATCGTATCTGCACAAACAAGATATCGATTAGCAAACTGAGATTCCACAGATTCTAGGGGTATAAGTATCATCACTGAGCGATCAGAACTCGCGACATGGGAAGCACACATAGACATCACAACACGGAGCTTTACGGAGCATTCGCAGGACATCCTCTTACCTATGCTGTTGTTCTGATCAAAAGTCGTGTTCAATGGCATTAAAACGATAACAACGCTGCTGAAGGTTAATCCATAGGTTAATCCAATGTGTCTATGTCACTTTGAAATGATTACTGATAATCCATCATTCCATTTTTATGTCAATAACGGAGTTTTCACATTAGCTGCTAATAATATCTACCAGAGTGTATCGCAGCTTCCGGTTCCGTGGCATTCTGGCTACGCATCACGTACGTCCCCTCGATTCTATTGGCTCTAACGGTTAAAAAGAGATGTCAATCATCAAAATCGAACGAGGGGGGCCAGAGATATGGAAAATGCACCCAAATGACCCCAGAAGAGGTTTTTTTCTTTCTAAACCTCTCTAAAAAGGTCAAATGTCACTTGTTTTGCATCAAACTTGATACAGGGTACTTATTATATGTTATAGTTTGGATTCCTAAAGCTTTTAGTCTACTATCCCATCATTCAAGGGTGGTTTTCACTACAAGTAATGTTTTTTTTTTTGGACGGACACTATCATTTACATTTTTACAGGAGTAAAAGAGGATATCTGTGACTTTAAACCTAAGTGGCTTTGTACTTTGAACCAGACATCAACTGTGTTCCTGACAAAAGGGTTTTTTGTATTCTTTTTAAGCTGTTTTGGAGAGTCAGATAACAAATACAAATTCAGTGGTAGTGGAGTTGTTGTATAACATTCAATTTCAACCCATGGTATGGGGGTTCCGTCTAAGAACCAACACATTGCTGCTCTTATTTGGGCTGCCCAGTAATACCAGGACAGATTGGGTACCTGGAGTCCTCCTCTCTCATAAGGTAGATATAAAAGGGATAGCCGTAACCTTGGTCTCTGATTGTTCCAGATAACATTTGTAAAGATTTTCTTCATTTTGGGAAAAAATGAGGATGGTGGGTGCAATGGCAGGGATTGAAATATATAGATACAGAAATGTAGGTAGGACATTCATCTTGATAATATTGATGCGTCTGATTAGGGATAGAGGGAGTGATGTCCACCTGTTAATAGAATCTGTCACAGAAGCTATTATGGGGTCATAGTTTGTTGGAACAAGGTCTTCTATTTCAGGTGTAATCTGTATTCCTAAATATTTAAAGCCTTCCAGGGAATTTTGGAAATCTGTTTGAAGAGGTGGATTAAGTCTTTCAGATTCTTTAAGTAGAAGAATGTTAGATTTCGAACTATTCACCTTATACCCTGAGAACGTACCAAAATCCTTTATCAGTTTATTGAGCGCTGGCAATGACACAGACACATTTTTTATAAATAAAACGATAACATCAGCGTAAAGGGCCAGGCGATTTTCAATGCCCCCAACTGTTATTCCTGTGATATGAGAATGAGTTCTAACCGCGATAGCCAGGGGCTCAATTGCCAGTACAAATAGTAATGGAGATAGAGGGTACCTCTCGATAGTGAAATGTACCCCTTTTAAAAGGGAAGATATAGTCATTTGTTCTGGGAATGTCATTTTCGAGCCTGAGACCTGAAAAACAGGCTCAGGGCTTAACAGGTTAAAGTAGCAATCATTAGAATGTAATACTACGGTTATAAAACAAATTATTTATTACAATTGTTTAGGGTCAAAATGAATGTTTGATCTTCTGATACATTATGAACCATCCAGACCTCGCAGGTCTTCTAACTTAATTACTTATACTGCACTGTACATTTTTATTTTTGTATTGTATACCGGCCTCATTCTGTTTTAAATTG